GATCCGATGGGTATGTAAGTAGGATCCGATGGGTATGTAAGTAGGATCCGATGGGTATGTAAGTAAGATCCGATGGGTATGTATGTTTTTTGGCGTCTAGTCCAAATGGCTTTTTTTGAATATTTCAGAGACTGAAAATGCGTTGACAAGATATTTTTTTTGTACTGAAGGGCACGAGAGGGCAACCTCTTATAAATAACGTGCTGTCTAATTGTAGTAGCTGGACTCCTGAATATAACATTAGTGCAGATAAATCATTACGAGAATTGGATGTCCTATAACAATTCTCACGGGAATGCACCATTTCACAATACCCAGTACCATCGATTTAGCCAATCAGTGATAGGTACATCATGTAGGTCGCAAACTATCTGGTGATTAATTGTACTAGCCAATCAGAGATAGGTACGTCATGTAGGTCGCAAACTATCTGGTGATTAATTGCAGACCCCACCATTACCTATCTCGCTTTGATGCAAAGCTGGCTTGGCCCCATCGATTTCGATGGGAACTGTGAAATGCAATAGCAACGATAATGACAATAGCACAATTTCTCGTACAGTTCATTCAACAGTTGACTTACTTGCTAAAATTTGCAGTTCCATTTTGCCGAAAKTCGACATCCAAAAAAGGAATTTTCTCGGTTTTTATAATCGTCACAAAGTGCTTTTTTGTCTCATTTGATTTCTGTACAATATTTGAACTTGCTGCTTTAGGTTTCTGTTTGGTCTTKTTGACTGTTCTATTTGCTTCCATTTTCGCTAAACTATGTTTCAATCCTTTAAGTTTATTTGCAAATTTATTTATATTGATGACTTTTGTTACGCCAGAGCTGGACACTCCAATGACCTCTTTCTCATGCTTTAACATCCTTTCCAGGTTTTCAGTAGTTTGTAAATTAGGACAGGTTTGGTGATATGCATAGTCAAGTGCACCAGACTGCTCCTTCTTAATGCATCTACCATTGCCATTACATTGTTTATTGCTGCATTTTTCAGCTGCAATTTGAGTTGACTTGAAAACTGGCCCAAGATTGTTGTGAACGTAGTYGTTGATTTGTTTACAAATAAATGGCGATGTATTCTCATCGCGACGATTTCCCCACATAACTATCCCCGCTGCACCAAAATCAGCAGCCTGACCTATGGTGTTAAGTAAATCAACCTACAAGTAATGATACAATAGCAAAACATAAGATATCCATGTCGGGGAAGGGGTTTCAGCTTTGTTATAAGGTGGCTTACTTCAAAATTGCACGTGTAGTTGCACGTGTAGTGCGGCTCGAACCTATATTTAAGAAATATAAAACGGCCGCTTGTGTCTCTGTCCTCTGATATAAACACGGTGGGAGTTCGAAAAACACGAGAGAAGCAAGCTTAGGAACACGAGCGTAGCGAGAGTTTCTCTTGCTTCTCGAGTGTTTTTCAACTCCCACCGAGTTTATATCAGAGGACAGAGACACAAGCGGCCGTTTTATATTTCTTTTATAAAATTTTTCGAGCAAAAAGAAAATTTTGCCGGTAAGCCGTGTCTCTGTCCTCTGATATAAACACGGTCGTCAGCCAATCAGAGCGCGCGTTATATATCAAAAATTTTATAAATCCCGATAAAACACGCACTCTCGTTCTATAAGCAACACAAACAGACTCTTGGACTATCAGAAGATGACGTCAAAATGTGATGAGAACAATAGTCGACGTCTGTTTATCTATATCGGAGTACAGTCACATGGAACAATAGAATCTATTTGTTTGTATTATATTTTCCTCTAATTGTTTTCCCGGGCGCGCGTAATGGAACGAACACATATTACGTCACCGTGAGAAAATTGGAGGAAGCTTCTTATTTATTATTCGAATTACAATTTGTGAAATATATCACGTGACCTCTGAGAAAAATTGCTACAATTCTATTTAGACTCTAGCTCCASAAAAACTGTCAACGTGGCAATTTAATTACTGAAGGTAACCAGCGGGACTTTTCTTTCCTGCAGTCCAAGTTAGCGCTGTAATACACGACTTTCAAAAATATCAAGGGACTAGTGACGAATCATGGAAACGAGATCCCACAGGCCTTACATCTAAAAGTCACTACGAAGATYGCATGTATACAGCGTCTAAAAGTTTGAATGTTGAATTTGTATGTTATTCATAAAAAAMTCTTCCAAGACACCTCTTGTCGGAGATGCTGGCCTATGAGACCTCGTTTTAGTGCTTCGTCCCCAATGCCTAGGTCGGCGACCGTGACATATTGCGCCATTTGAAAGTCGTGAATAGTAGTTTCTAGTTTAAATTTCGTTTGCGTCAATTGAAAACATTAGTTTACGCTTCCGTTTGCGATCTTTTTGATCTCGCGTAAAACGGTCAGGTTATGAACCTGTCAAATGAATAAACCAAATTATAATATATATACTRCATCAATACTAGACACTTACGTCAGTTAAGAACTCATAATCCAAAGGATTTTTCTCATAGATCATTCTAAAATATGGAAAAATTGGTAAGGAGGAGCCAGGCTTCTTGTACTTGGCAGCCAACCTGAATGCTTCATCCAGTCGTCCTTTAACAAAGTGTTGATTAGTTGAGGCACGTTCAGGTAAGTAGATAGATGGATACAGGGCTGTACTTGTCGAGAACATCCATGACAASGCATCATTTTGATCCTTTACCTGAAATATCAAACCATTATCCATTTCAGAAATGAAGTCATTTTTAAAATAAAAATTGCATAGCATAGATCGTTCGACGTTGTAGTTCAACCTTCGTGAATGGCTACAGTCTCGTCGAGTTTTTGACCTTACGGGTACCTCATATTTTCAACTGGTCGAGGAAATTCCTGGAGAAGGTAAATGGAGTGTTTTTCTTTAAATGTGTTTATTTTAAGCAAAATCAAGGTATTTTTTCTCGTGAAAACATTCTTTCAACTTCAATGAG